GGACTTCAACCCCCCAATGCGTCAGTTCGCGTGTGGGTCCGATAGAGGCGTGGGACCTCGCGTACCCTCTATGCTACAGCGAATGAGAAACGCCCTCGGCTGGTCCACCTCTGCGATTGCAACTGAGGCCCTGAGGGCCCAACAAATGAACAAGTGCCCTTACGGGCCACGAACACACTCAAGCCAACCAGCACTCAGACAGACGTGGAGTCCAGCAAGCGTGCACAGACACAGACTTAGTAGCAAGCGGGAAACTCAACAAGGCATTTAGTCCATGAGCAAAACTCAGAAATCAGCCGTGTGTTTCAGTCCATGTTTGGTCGGGTCATCACACTTTGGAGGTACTTCTGAGAAAGGGCAGACGGTGAAGCAGAAAGGCCCGGCTGTGGAGGTCAGCGATAACACCTCCCATGAGGTAAGTAACGAGGAGGCTGGGGATGAACAATCGGTCGAGCTTTAGGATGTCGTCCCGAATGCGACCTATCTTTGGTCTCTCACTAAGGAGTGTAAACGTGGCGCGCTATTTGTGGGTCGTCTTCTTCGTCTCTCCCTGTTGACGGGTGCTTTGTTTCTAGCTCCTCCGACCTGGCCGATTTTGATTCCTCTTCTTTCTTCTTACATGATCAGTTATTTAATGCCTATTATCGTGCGATCGTGATCAGACTCGTTCTTCTCGATCGAATCCCTTGGGCTCTGAAAGTGAAGGACTATATTCTTAAGCTTATCTTGGCTGGGTTCAACTTTGAGAGATGTGATGGACCTCCTCGTCTATGTGCTTCTTTCTCCTAGGTCTTGCCACCTGTACGTGGGATCTACAACTAGGTCGCTTCCGGTAAGATGGAACGAGCATGTGTATCGCGCGTCTAATCTAAACATGATCGAGGGTGGTAAACGCAACCACAAGCTATATGCCTGGCTGAGATGTTGCCAAGTTGGTTCTTACGTTGCTATAACACTGTGCTGTTGTGATAAGAATGATCTGCTTAGTCTTGATAAGTATCTGATCGGGCAGTTGTGCCCATACCTGAATAGTTGTGATAAACCACGAAAATCGAACAGGAAAAGGCTCGGAAAGAGGGAGCGCATTAAACAAGTTGGTAGAAACCGGGCTGGAATTGACTCGTTGACTAAAGATCGTACCCATCGTTGTTTCACTCATCAATTGACATCACTTCTACTCGGTTGACTACCATCTTGGATTACTGTGTTGAGCATAGGCTTTCGTCTGTTGGGATTACATGTAAGGGGGGAGATCAGATTGCTGAAAACTGGAAGTTAATTAAGCGGAGGTTCGGTTCGTCTCTTATCCAAACCACCGAGCACGTTGATGTGCTGAAGGGAGGGAGGGGTATGCTTCGCTCCGGTATGTTCTTTGTGATCTTTGCTATTGTACCTTTCATGTCTCGTGCTTTTATCCTGAAGCCTGCGCTTGTTGGTTTTCTATCTCACCCGGTCTCAAGGAGGGAGCTATTGAGTTGGAAGCTTCCTGTTTTGGTAGTAGCATATTCGGCTATTCGGAGTTTCTCGAAAAAGAGAAGCAGATATCAGCGCCGGGTAATCATCTCCAGGTTATCCGTCGGAAATTTGGGTTCAACGTCAGGCGGCGCTTGACGGTGAGGGTTACCTATGATGAAAGGTTGAGCAAACCTGGAATTAGAGCGGCATGCTCTATGTCGGTAATGGATGCGGATGCTGACAGTGAATGGAAGCGTATGGTTGTCAGACGCATGTGTGATGTTTGGTTGAAGAATAAGAATGTGGGTGATTGTATCTTTACTTTTCAGTCTGCGGCTTTGACGATTTCTACGGAGTGCACATGGTTTGGGTTTCCTGATTCATTTCCTCGTAGGGATGGGCATGTGTGTTTTCACCTTAATGATTGGGTTGATGTAACGTCGTAAGACCAGCCACTGGGGATGTTCTTGGCAGATTGAGAAGGCAGATCGCTGCCTCATTGAATGAGCTGGACTTCGATACTCCAGGCATTTAGAGGACGGATCTTACTGGGTGTGTGGTCAATAGGGATATTGTGGATAGGGCTTGCACTGAGGAGGAAGTCAACCAATGGCTGGCGAAATTGGATGGGTTGGTCCGCGTTAGTACTATCGATCATAATCCTGGCGATACCCTGGTCTGCTGTCTGTTACCCTATCAGGATTGCATGAATTAGCTGTTTTGCTGTAACGATGGACTTTGTCGGTTGGAAAGTGACGAAGGGAGTTTGCTGAAACAGACTCGGTTGACTTATGTTTCGTATGGGTTGCAGGATTTGGCCAAATGGGATGGGAAGGGCACAATAGGCAAAGCTTACGTTATCCCGAAGCATAAAGATGTACGGAAGTGGAGGCCTATTTGCCCCTCCTTTCCCGAGTGCAGTGTTCGTGCTTGCAGGAAGATTTCTCGGGCCATTAATGTGTTGGGCTCGGAGTTGCCGAGGAAGTCGAATTTCAATCTAAGAAGTACTGACCTGTTGGTTGACTCCCTCAACGTGATTAACAAATGCGTGGTGAAAGGCGAGGCGCTATTGACCAAGGCATTCGATATTAAGAAGATGTTCTGCAATCTGCCTCATGATTCGATTCTGAATGCCCTGGACTGGGTGTTGGATTTTTGGAAGACAAAGGGTGTGGATGGGTTCTTCTAAAGAATCGGGGGAAAGAGGCTAAATTACTGCGAGGTAGGAAACAGGATGGATGGGAGTCTGTGAGCTTCGGTATAATTAAGGCCTTCGTCAGATTTGATTTGGATGATACTTTCGTGCGAGCTTGTGGTATGATTCTGAAGCAGGGCGTTGGTATTCCAATGGGCAAGCCTTCGAGCCCTGCTATTGATTGCTTGTTGTGGGTCTTTTTGGAATTTTCCTTTCTTACTTCTTTGGGGCACAATCGTCGGTTGGTACATGGCGTCAGGCTTATGATAAGAACCTGTTGCTTGAATGCACTAGCTCGGCTGACTGTTGGGATTTTTTGGGTGGGCGTATGCTTTCAAAATTTGCAGGATAACTGTTCATATGTTAGCAAGAAGCAGAAGATGGCCGTGGTTGGTTCTGTCTTACACCGAGCTAAAAGTTTCACTAGTGTTCCTGCAGCAGAGATTGCCTTTCTTTTTTCTCTCAAAATTGAGTTGAGAATTCGAGGTTTCTCTGATGAGATCTTTGATAAATCGTTACGAGTTTTTTCCTAAGTTTGGAGGAATCTGGAATGATTGGATTGACTGGTTAACATGATGGGACAAATTTTCCTCTGGATGCGGGTATGGTTGGTCGAAAATTCGGGCCTTATGGCCCGTTCAGGCAGGGGGCATCCACCTCGGATAATGTTCGTTTGGATAGCTAGCATCTGGTTCTCAGGGGGCTTCGAACCCGTGACGTTATGCCCAAGTGATCTCTGGTATTTGCTGTCTACTAAATCTTTGACTCTGAGGGGACTCGAACTTGAAACCTTTGTCTGTTGTTTTTTTCTGCTTTTCTATCCGGACTCTGATACTCTGTGGATTCAAACTTGGAACCTTTTCGGATTTCCTTTCTAATACTGGAGGGTCTGTGCGATGCTTCGCTTTTTTTGGACCTTTTGTGAGGATTTCAACTTGGTACCTTTGCCTGTTCGTTCTTATACTTGACTCAGGTACCTTGTGGAACCTGGAACTTTCTCGGTTTCTCTTCTGACGGACTGTTCGTGTGACGCGTTGTTGCTTTGATCTAGACTTGAACTTGGTATCTTTTAGGTCTTCTTCTCTAGGCTTACTTGGTCGGTTCTTTGCGACTGTTCTGGCTGGGTCTTCGGGGTTAGCTGTCCTGAGTGTCTGTTTATATAGCCTAGCGTGTTGCGTCAACAGATACTCGATGTCTGATGACCCCTGACGATTCCGGAACCGGCTCCGGATGAAGCATGTTGGGTCAGTGCCGGATGCTCGGCTATGGTTGACACGATACGGGCACAATGCCCATTTTTTAGCTGAGCCATGCAGGCTGGTGCTTCATGATTATTTTAGATTGCGAGCCTGCCTTGCGTTTGGGAGATGTTGGCGTGTCACTCTTCTTCCCTTTTCTTATTCCCTGCTATTTTCTTACTTCTTATCTTCTTCGTCCGTTTCTTGGGTTTTGCCTTGTCGATGTCTGGGTCATCATACTTGTGCTTGTTCTAGACCTTTGGGTCGCTATTGCATTGTGGAATGTTTTGACGCATGTTGTGATCTATTTGTTGACTAGACCTGACTTGTTGATTGAATCCTTGACAATAGGATGCTGTGTGAATTGCTCACCAAACGAAACGATGGCCGCCGATCAGATTTATCAATGGCAGCCGCCGTCGGGCCCGGCCTCCGATTTTTAGGAGTTTGGAAAAACTGCCAGTTTTCCCTCCGACCTTGAAGGAGGAGGCCCAAACAAAACGACGGCCGCCGATCAGATTTATCAATGGCAGCCGTCGTCGGGCCCAGCCTCCGATTTTTTAGGAGTTTGGGAAAAATGCCAGTTTTCCCTATTTTCCCAACACTGGCAGAGGTACCAGTGGCTTAAACCGCCAGTACCCCCGAGCCTCTTTTTTCCAACGTGATCTTGCACTGCGGGACGCGCACCCACAAAAGAAAAAACGAACCGCCAGCAGCACACCCCTTTCTCGTTTTTGGCTGTCGTCACTATCCATTTCGATATCAGGTAGCACTGTTTATCTGAAGAAGCCGGATTAGCGCAATTTTGCCAATTTCGATTCTCAAGTTTGCCTGGGCGAAGTACCGGTGGTTTAAACTTTAAAAGTTAAAAAGAGCAAACAAATAAAAAAACTTAAAAAATGGCAAATTCTGTGCATCGAATCATTGCGTTACGCTATCTCCTGCAGAGTAGTCTGACACTGACAATCCCTGTCTGAAAAACAGAGGTCGAATATTGCTACACAGGATAGCTGAGAGATCGTACGGTTCAGACCGTACGGTAGAAAATAACTTTTTCTTCTTTTTATTAGTTTTTAATAAACAAAACAGGTGCTACAGTTGAAAATACTGACCTCTATTGAAGCAGAAAGGCATTGGATTTGACCATTCTCATCTTTTGCCTCACATAGGAGAACTGCAAAGCTGCCAAAACGCAAGACAAAAAAAAAAAAAAAGCACAACAAGCCAAGGTTATTCACTTATATACTAGGCTACCGGAGTGGCCCGGGACCACTTGCCCATCGGGGCCAAAAAAAAATAAAAAATTGAAGGATTTTCATGTGACCCTGAGGCAAAAGTTGTTCAGTTCCCTGCATAACATAGTGTCTTTCCCCCTTTTTTTTTTTTATGCTGGGACCTTCCCTAGTCCTTCCACAGCCGGACCGCCCGGGAAGACAAGGTGATTGGGGCGACCCGGCTGATAGCCTAGCTTATATAGTTTTTTTTTTCTTCAGTAACTAGTAATTACTAATTTATTATTTATTAACAAGAAAGAAAAAGTGCACTGGGGCTGAACGGTACACAGTACTACACACACGTAACTGCCCATGCGGCTGAATGGCACACACATGTAACTGCTGAATCGTGCTGACACAATAAGGTTACTGCAAGGAACATGAATGTGGACGAAGCAAAGAAATCCCAATTGCAAATCACACTGAAGTCCAAGTAGTCAAAGCAAGAGCAGATAACACATTGGAACCAAGCAACCATCCATTTGAGAACGATACAGCAAAAGTCGCGAGTCAATGTCCAAGCCCAATCGGGCAACACCAACAACATAACCCGAAGTAGCCCTCTCTCTTGTATGGCGCCAGGCGCCCTATCTACTCTACAGCCTATCCTACAACTACAGTCATGGAAGCAACCAGACGACTTGACGACCAGCTAGTGATGACGTCCACACCAATGCCGACCTCCTCTTCCACCAGGTACGTCACTCTCTCTCGTCCCTCACTCTCCCTTGTTATCCCACACAGCGCCCTTCACCTCCCGAAGAACCACCTTCGCCCTCAACTCCTCCAGCGCCCTCATGCAGCCTGGCTATGGCTGCCAGCGCCCTGCGCCCAGGCTGCGCCCTACCGCTTAGCGCCAGCCTGCCTTCTCTCAGCCTAGAGCAGCGCAGCACATTCGCAATGCAACAGTGTGCCGGCCTTGCTCGCAATGGCCAAGATGCCTGCCTACTCGCGCGCTCCGCCTATATGCCAGTGTTGCGTGTGGGCGGTCTACCTTGAGCCTGCGCCTGGGCCCCAGTACCTGTACCCAGGCCCAATGCAGATGGGGCCCAAGTAATACAGTTGTGCCCCTTATGCTAGGGCCGTTGTCCAGATTCAGGCCCCGTACCGGTTTCCCATTGGCTTCCTCGGCCTCTACGACGACATACTGCTTTTCCATAGGCCAGGGACCAATGTGGGATGTGTCGGCCTCCCAGACTGTCGCCCAGGGCTCAACCAACCCCGGCCCTGGGCTCAACCGCCTTTGCAGGAATCGGAGGCTCACGATGCACTCCAACCAACTGGTTTGCGGCAACTGTCTGATACCCACTTTGGGAAATGCTGAATGAAGGCCTCTCGTGTATATTCTGGCCCGCCTTCACTTAGGGCGGGCACGAGGCTTGCTGGGGGCCTATACCCAGAACATATGTATGTCGGCAAGGCCCCGTTGAGGGCTCAATCCTCACATTAGGGGCTTCTCCCTTTAAAAAAAAAGTGCACTGGGAATGTTCTGCTTAGGCGAAAAAAGAATGATTTTACCTTATGGTGTGCCCATGCTGCTTCATGCCTAACTCTCATCCACTTGGTCAAGAAGGTTGGGTGGTCCCCTCCATAGGCCTCGCAGAACTCTAACCACAAAAAAGACACTACAGCCTCACCTGTATCTATCTGGAGTACAGTTGAAAATGTCGTCCTAGTGTGTGAATGCCCTCAGAAGAGGAATGCCAGCATGTGAAAATGAGTCCATATGTGGTGCATTAGCTGCAACAAGAAAGTCCTGGCCAATACTCGAGTTGTCTTGGAAGGGCTTAAAAGTTGCTGGTGTTTTGATCCTGGCCAATTTCGAAGTATACATTCATCAGAAAGTACAATGCTGTCCAATTGCAAAAAGAAATGAATGAACTTGAGAGGAGAGAGAGGGAAAGAAGAAGAAGTATGAAAGAAGAAGAAGATGATGTACTCCAGCATAGACCAATGACAAGGCTCTTCTTCTTTGCCAACCAATCTCATCCTCCTTATCTTCTCCCTTCTTATTCAAACAGGAAATAACAATAATAATGTTGAATGGCTGAATTAGAATCAATGTCCGAATCCCACTTCTACTGCAGGCACAACATGAGGTCCACCATAGCCCTGGCCACTCTTCCTCTTCCTCTGCATACAGGCTGAGGCTATGGTGGAGCACTGAAGGCTCTACCCTCCTGTCCAAAGGACAACCCAAAGCAGCTATGTCGCCGCCCTTCTGTCCCAAGGTCAACACCATGCAGCTATGCCGCTGCCCACTCAACCGCCATGCCCGACTCTGTCCCGAGCTTCCGTGATGCGGCACTACCCCAACTGGCGCCTTCCAGATGCAGCGCCTAACAAGGTGATGAAGATGGTGTCCACCATAGCCAGGTAGGTACCTCGCCACTCTCCTCCTTGGTCCCCTTCTCCCTCCTCCTCCTACCGATAGAGCTCCACCATAGCCAAGGTGGAAGCTCCCGGCTTCTTCCTCCCAGCAGCGCTGTAGTACCCAGCGCTACTCCAGCCAGGGCTCCAGCAGCGTGTCGCCAAACTTACACACTGAAGAATGAGGCCGGGCTCTTCCCTCGGCCTCTTGATAAAGCGGCCTACTTGCCTCCTGGGCGGTGACTTCCAGGCTACTCAGCCTCCCAAGCAACCGGTACCTCCTTCCTTTCAGAGGGAAACATCATTGCAGACTCTGATATTGCCCGTACAGGCTCTAGACTCTGACTGGATGGACTGGTACCGGCCTAGACCTAGCCTACCGCTACTGGGCCTCTAAAAATGGCAACTTTATCTTCTTCTGATCGGCCTCGAGTACCCGGCACATCTACTGCTGCTGGGTGCGGTACCAGCCTCCCTGCTACTTGAGTGTTTTTCCGCTGCTCTAAGCACCGCGGGCCCCTGGCTCCACTACTTGAGTGGTTTTCCTGCTGCAACCCTCAATGCCACGGCCACAGGTAAGTACCGGCCCTACGGGCCTTCCAAACAAGCAAGTACCCTTCCGGGTCACACACACACTCATACCGACAAGCACTCAGACAGGCACGCAGGTCACAAGCACGCACACACACAGACTTAGAAAACTCAGCAGAATGTGGGAATCTAAGCAAGGCATCCATTCCATCGGCAGAACTCCAGAAATCAGCAGTGTTCTCAGTCTGTGTTATGGCGGGTCATTACACTACCCCCCCCTCAAGAGCGAGGTCCCTTCGAGCGAGTAACTCAATCAGAGTCCCTGCATAATGCATCATAGGCGCAAATGGCAAAGAGAGATCGCGTATATTCCGTAGGAGTAAGGGTAGCAGTGAATAATCAGTCGTTCATATGCATTGACGACTCGCGGGGCACTCTGCAGCAAATCTTTCTTAGCAATCCAGTAAACGTCATTCAATGGGTGGTATAGAAAATGAAACTTCATATTGTCTGTTTCTCCCTTTTCCACTGTGCTCGACAATTCTATCAACCTCGTGACAGCCTTGATTGCGCGAGGAATCATCGATTCTCCATACGGAAAAGTTTCCGGTGATTCATACGGGAATAACTTCGACACGTGAAAGACTGGGTACGTGCGCAAATGAGGAGGCACGTCGATCGTGTAAGGACCAAATGAATGATTCCCTACTTGGTTCAGCACCTTCCACAGACCATAGTACTGAGGAAGAAGATTTAGTAATGCCCCTTCTTCTTCAGAAAACTCAGACATTTTGACCCAGACATAGCTTCCCACTGCGAAAGGTACAGGCTGGCGCTTTTTGTTAGCATGCTTAATCATGGCACTGCATCACCTTTCCATAGCTGCGACAGCAACTTTGAGTAAGCGATCAAACTTAGCGCTGTAGCCTGGCTGGCCAGGTGTTAGGCCAGGTGGCGGATCAGGAAACAGATAGGATAGGGGATTGCGAATTTGCCATCCGAGGTGCAGCCGATTAGGTGTCATCCCTGTGGAGGATTGTATGGAGTTTGTTGTACATTCCTTGCACAATCGGCAATTCCTCATCCCAAAAGTTCCAATCAGGCACAATTAGAGCTCGGAGAAGTTGGATCACAGTCTGGTTGACCTCCTCGGCCAGTCCATTGGCTTTGGGATGTCGGCCAGACGTCATCTTGAGTTTGATGTCGTAGATCTGGGAGGTGAAGTCCTTCTAATCTGCACTTATGAACCTAGTGTCCCGGTCACTCACAATAGTTTTCGGGGGCCCACACTGCAGAATGTACCTTTTGTGAAACTCCATCACAAGGTCAGTTGGGGCGTGAGGTAATGGGATCAAATTCAGAAACTTTGAAAAGCGGTCAATGATCACCATTACTTGTGAATATCCGTTCTTGCTCTTCTTTCCTATGTTCGCATAGTCGATGGAAAGAGACTCCCCCGGGCCATCAGGAATAGGAAGAGGATGCAGCAGCCCATAGGGCTTTTGCCGAGATGACTTGATGCGTTGACAAACTTCACACTTAGCCACAAACTTCCGTGTCATTTCTTTCATCCCAGGCCATACAAACTTTTGCAATAGACTTCCGTATGTCTTTTCAAAACCGAAGTGTCCACTTTGGCCATGAGCCAAGTCCAAGAAGTGAGTACGGATAGGGTACACACAGTCGATCGTACTTTCCGTAACGTCGGAAGAGTAAACCTTTACATCAGGCTGACTGCTAGGGTCAGCCTGGATCTGCTCAAGGATGGGATAGAGTTCCGGGTCCTTGGCAGTATACTCTACGGGTTCCTCCTTCAAATTCTTACGGAGATCTTAGGAACCCACAAGACAAGTCATGTACTCAGGGTGGCGAGACAAAGCGTCCGCAACGCGATTGTAACAACCTTTCTTGTGCCTAAGTTCGAAATCATACACAGCAATCTCATGCAGCCAGCGGGTCAATGTAGTTGATGGATTATTCTGTGTATGGATCCACTTCAAAGTCTCA